TTTAGCCACTTTATTGTTGTTGTTGCTATGACCATGAAATCATGTGGCCACTGCCTGATAAACATAAAGATTTAAAAACAGTATTCTGAAATGACTTTAAATTGATATAAAAATTATTATCATCTAGTTGTCCAGGTAACTGATTTTTCCCCAAAGTATATTTGAGCAGAAAATGCAAAGCCTAAGAGAAACATCAGGCTCTGAGATATCTTACAGTAATGCAAACTGCTCATTTACTTTAATCCAGTGTTTCAAATTATATGATAAAGGAATTCTTTCTTCACATAATATTTATGATCATTTCTTTAAAAATCACTATTCTATGGAAAACACTTGGGAAAAATGAATCCATTGAAATTCCTCTTCCAAGTTGTGCATGTAATATTCTGACAGGTCTTGTTTTCCTGCCAACTCTACTCCCTGCTGTGGATGTTCTGTGAAATGTCAGGGCTGATGATAAAGTTTTTTTCTGACAGTTAACTGTTAAAGTTTTCTTATGGCTTTCTCACAACAGTCCAGCATTCTGCTTCTCTCCATTTTGTGGCTACAGGGAAACCCTAATCTCCTGAAACTTGTACTCAGTTTTTCTTGATGCTTATTATAGACTTGATTTTCTGTACCAATTGGTAGCACCTTGTGTTTTACTAACTACTTTAAACAAACTTATTGCTAGGGCTCGGGTTGTAGCTCAGTGGTACAGCACTTGCTTACAATGTGTAAAGCCCTGGGTTCTAGCTCCAGCATAAAAAGAGAGAAGCTTTATTGCTGTACAATCTGGCACATGCTTATCTCTCTACAATTAACTTGTAGGTTTCTTAGCATCTGAAACCATGCTTTACACTTCCACATATCCCTCAGAGTACAAATACAACCTACTGCTCACTTATTCAACAAAATGCACTGAGCATCTCCTAGATGCCAGGCACTATTCTGAGTGCTGGGGTGTTGGCAGTCACAAAATAGTCAAGGCCATAAGGCTCTGGTGGAAGCTTTACTCATGGGGAAGCTAGATAAATGAGTGTTCCAGATATGCACAACATAAGGTCAGATCAAGATAAGCAGTATGCACCAATGAGGGGATGTGAAAGAATGAATAGGGAGGTTACTTTAGTTAGAGAAGGCCTTCCTGAAGAGAGCATATTTAAGTTGAAATATGAGTAACAGGAAAAAGCCAACTATGCAATAAATAGGTTGCAAAGAAGATGACCGAAGGAAAGAGCTAGGCAAAAGTCAGGTGTCTGACTAAATCTGTGAAAGTGGAGGAACTAAATCTGTTAAAGTGGAGGAACATCAAAATGATCAGTATGGCTGGAACATATAAAGTAAATCAGGAGCCACTGTCAGATCAGTTTACAGTGGTGGATGTTGACAGTAGACTGTGATACAGAGTTTGAACTTTGTTTTAATGTGAAAACAACAGAGCATTTTAGACACAAAAGTGACCAAAACATATCTTTAGAAGTTTAAAAGACCACTCTCACTGTAAGGTAGAAAATGAAATGCTAGGGGCTGGTGAGATAGCTCAGAAGTCTAAGGTGCCTGCTTAGGCAAGCTAAGGGAGGTACAGGGTACCTCAGTTCGATCTCTGGCACCACAGGCAGTGCCAGCCCCACTCTCAGGGTGGGCTGAGCTGGCAGAGAGAGAGAGAGAGAGAGAGAGAGAGAGAGA